TAAAGCACTGAGACAAGCATCAACACCAATCACTGGGTGGCATGACAGAATAGCATTGATTAGAATGCTGGTCGGACAACGCCACATTAGATATAGGCAGGAAGAAGATATTAATATTTCTGTTAGATAAAGCCAGACGACAGACGAGAGAATCTATGGTAGATGAGAATGTCACAGAGTAAAGGGTGTCAGTAATGACAAACTCACACGCTTGGTAAAGAAAGGAGACAATGAAATAACGAGAAAGGAGAGAACTAGAAGAGAAGCAAATCATGAGAGGGCAGTTACGCCAGAGGCGTGTGAGCGACAAGCTGCAAGACAAGTCGCGGTCATAAAGTAACTTGTAAACACAGGAGTTTACAAATCAAATAGAAAGAAAATAGAAGAATTGCTAGGAATAGTTATAGATTAAACCGAATGCTTCGTTAGAAGAAAGATATGTGTTAGAAGATACTTTATAACATTTGATAACAGTCTACAACCTGTTAGAAATATGCAACTAATGTCGTATCAACTTATACTGAAGTGTTAAGTCATCACTGTGTGTAACTAAAATCATCGTCGTATATGAATTGACACTGTGTGTGCATATTAAACAATCTTAACTGCGCATGACTTGATCGATCACTGGCCGTATTGTTAAATACAAAATATATACAAACTATCTTATTAAGCTTGTTTTGATTAGGCACATTTGACTGAGCTTGGGTGGATGTGGAAGACTAGATAGTGTCACATTGTCGTGTGGTGTCTTAACAGTTTCTGAGGCTTCCTTTACTGTGGCTAAATATTTGCCTCTGCTGGGCCATCTGAAGGTTGTCTTCCATCAGCTTCTTAACACTTTTGTTTCTCTGTTAATTTTTTGTGCACTCCGATTTTAAAATAACCAGCAGGATATTTTCTGGTGAGTAATAATAGCTGGCACAATAGCAACCCTTCATCCACTGAGTGTGACAATATAGTGCTGGCACCATATACCCTATATGCATTGTTCATAAAAAGTGTTTTAAATTACTTTTTATTTTGAAAAAGATTTTAACAACTGGGAACCTGGATAGCAAACCTGAAACTTTTCCTGAACTGAGTTGCTGAGCAGGTAATCACATGAAATGAAACACAACCCAAATGAGAACAGATGTTCTTGTTTACACATTTCTTGCCTACAATAGAGTAAAGGTGGCTGCTGTATTGGAGGACTGAGCAAGCAGAGCAATACCCAACGTGCAGTGCAGTCAACCCTGATAAAATAACAAACAGATGTCCCTGACAACATACATTCTCAAGTGCAGTAATATTAAGTTGTTTCTTTTTAAAGGGCGCATTGTTTTGTTACTGACAGCATTATATAAAAGTTGGATTATGTAACTCTTCAACAACAACAAAACTCAGATAAAAAGTTAACCCTCTTCACCTCATGCGTCATGTTGAAAAAACAAAACACTTCAAGAGTAAACTACGAAATAGGGGGACAAAATATTCCAGCACACATATTTGCCAACTACTGAAATGTGACGTGTATGTCTGACAATAGTGATTACAAGTATACATAAAGAAACTAATGTATTTGTCTCTATATAAGATGCCCCCCATGTATAATACAACCCCTAATTTTATTTTAAACCCAAAATTCAGAAAGCCCACTATAAAGTAAGACCTTTCTCAATATTTACACTAGAGCGTAAAGTGTAATTTTAAACTTGATGTGATGAGTCAGTATTTACAGTGTGTACCATATTGACTCCACAATCACCGGGAGATGTGAATGCTGATCGAGAAGCTGTTACTGCCAGAGTTGCGGGAGTGAGTGAATGAGGTTGGGGAGATGGGAGTCTGGGTAGCCAGGGACGGCCAAGTGAAAGAGACAATATATGGAGTGGGGACTACTGGGGGTGGGGAGGGGTGGCGTACCAGAGCAGGGTCTCCTGTAGAGCCAATGGTGAGGGAAGACTGGGGAGGGAGGAGAATGAAACAGCGGCATGTAATTATTTATATATTTAATTGCAACATTCTGTGCATAAGAAGGCTTTCAATTTTAAACTTGAGTAATTTAGGAAAACATTTCGTCTTATACAAAAAAAAGTTCAGTATTCTTGTTACAATAATAACAAAAATATAACAACTTTTTAATGGTCTCAACATAATTTCTCCTCTCACAGTCCAGGCCGTGTGCCATGACAGACATTAGGCTCGTAGAAAAACTTTGGCAGCAGCATGAGAAAGGGGCGGAGTGGTTCTTAAGAGTTATCTAGTGTCTATCCTGATATATGGAAGCAAAACATGGACAGCTAGTCATTTAGGACAAATTATGTGGAAACTGTGAAGATGTGGTTATACAGAAGAATGATGAGAACCCATGGACAGATTAAAAGCATTATGTAAACATACAGTTCCAAGATATCAACTTGCACCAGGTCCATCCACATTCAGGAAAAGCTGAAGGGGAAGAAAGGCAAAAAATGACCAGGAGAGAAGATGTTAGAAAGTCAGGCATCACAGCCGAGAAAAACGTCTGTATCAATAATGACCTAAATTACAGGCGACAGCCGGCTGTGCCAGACATGGTTATCAACACCACATTTAAGGACTACAAGAATAAGAATAATGGCCAGTTCTAAATCTGCCACCAGATAAACAATTTCAAAAACAAGAATGTTGTCTAAGGGATCTCAAACGGGTCAATCAACAATAAAATGTTTTTGAGAGAGCCAGCAGGTCTCAGGAGAGTCTTATGGCCAAACAACTGCTCGCTCGATTTGACTGTCTTATCTCAAGTTTTCTTCAATTGACCACTATCTTTGTTTCAAGATAATGAAGAGCTCTTCTGTCAAAATAGTAACTTATCTGATTGCAAAACTTAAAAGCAAATGAAGTAAAGTTAATGCAAGAAAACTTTACAATCTGATATTATTTTCATTTTGATAACAGCAAAACAGTACAAGAACCAAAATTAAACTGGATGGGTGCAGATTAATAATAACACAACTCTGATGGAAAAATATGATAGATTTAAAACTGATATGCAGAATTTGAAACTAGGAAACATTGTAACAAATGTAAAAACAGATATGTTAGCTCATATAAATAGGGCCTTTTTAAACAATAGCTGCAGACTAAAATATCATTACTGATTTTACAATTTGTTTGCTACTGTAATGGCTGGCTGCATCTGCTGACAATGCTGATGACTGTTAGGGAAGACAAGTGTAAAATGTGCCATTCTATCTTTCACTCTAAACTGTTTTGTGTACGTAAACTCAGTCCACTCTCTTGTTTGTGGTGTACAAAATGTACCTATTCCACTCGTTTATACTCTCTGGTACAAACAACTTCTTTTGCCTTGAGTGTCTGCAGAAAACAAAGATTCAATTCCAACTATAAGACATGGCTTTTGTGAATATGTTCATACATTATGCATTGCTCCAGTTAAATGTGTAAATAATATGTTTAGCTGCCATGTGTATACACTATGTGTTATAAAGACTTAGTTAGTTCCATGCACACATTTAACACCTCTCTTATTATAGTCCATGCCATGTACTGCCAATAGTTGCTACTACAGGTTTTCCTTCACACCCTGATATCCAACTGTCCAACATTCTCTCTCTTGGTCTCCCCCTGCTTCCTCTCCAAATGCCATATTGTCACAATGTGTTCCGGTTTTCCCTTCTCACAACATGCCTGCAGACTGTGAATTATATTCTTCTAACTCAGGTATTTATTCTCTATATGATTTAATTTCCTCCAAGACAACCCCGCCATACTTTTTATCTGCTCATATTGTTCTCACCACACTTCTATGACAGAGTACCTCTGCAGCTTCCATGTAACTTTTCATTATTTGGATAAGTGTCTATTCCTTTTTTGTTCATAAATCATATTCTATTCAAGTCTTTAGAACAGTCTTTCTCGCTCAACAGACAAAGACATATTGCATCAAATATTCTTCATCCGGAGAAATTTTTCCATACGCATATATCAGATCAGGATATCTCAGTATGTGAACACATTGACATGCTTCCAAGAAGTCTCATTTGCTATAATGTTACACACTTCTACAAGAGACAAACAATTTTGTCCCCTACAAATAACAATCAACCATTTCACAGAAGTACTAAACCTCTAAAACAACTCACATACAGCACTTGTTCTCGATTCTTCTTCTTATAGTCTATGCTATATGGCATTAGCAGTCATGTCCATCCATAACCTTCTGTCTCATATACTTTCAATCAGTTCTGACACAGAAGATCTACCATGCTATGATGTTAAATTGTCCAGTGTCTTCTCTGTCTTCCTCTGCATCTTTTCCTCCCCAAATTTCCCACTGTCAATCTCTCCGCCCATCTCTTTCTTGGTTGGCCTCTTGAAGTGTAGCCTGCTGTTCTCATGTAGTGTGCTGATTTTATTCTCTCTGACCAAATCATTTGGTTCAATGAAATCAGTGACTGGTACTGTGCCTATCATTGATCTTAGTTCTTCACTGGTGTCTCTTCTTGCTTTTTATGCCACATATCTCATACATCTCATCTCACATGTTGTAATTCTGCATTTGTTTTTCTAGGAGTCTACTCACAGTGAAATAAGAGAACCTGAGTTTGCCCATACAAGTGTTGGATAGATGGAATATCCAAGGTTGTGAATACCACAACTAGGTAGCATACACCAAGGATCACAACAGACCCTTCAAACCTGACACTGAAAGGCAGAACAAAGTCTAGAGAAAAGAGGAAGAATAACAGAAACTTGGATAACCCTGACCTAATCCCTGCCAGTTGGGATGTGCCATGCCGAAACATGACCTGGTTGCATTCTAGTTAGTTTTTCTGCAGACGTGAAGAACTCCCTTTAAACACTGCACTAGTTTCTGAAATTCAAGCCTACTCCTATACATTACCTGCTACAACTGTCTACTCATGTACAGTGAACTGATTTGTTTATACACTATATAAATTACATACTTAATGCGCAACACAGCAGTTACACATTTACATAAAACCTACCTTGACCTTGCGACCATCAACAGTGGTTTCATCGAACTCTTCTCCGATCTTGAACTTGATTTCCAGTTTAGTTAAGAGGGAGCTAGTAGTGATAGTCCATACATCATCAACGATTCTGATTTCCTGGCGTGGCTTCGCTCTGTTTCCAATTAAACGTGTTGCGAAGTTCACCTCTGGGACAATATAAGACAAATAGTTGTTGCAAAAAGATAATGCTCTTTACAAGGTTGTTAGTAGATGTACCTGTTTAAGTTGAAAGGATCAACTTCACTGCACCAGGTTTTATCTCACATGGCTCTATCTCTCTCTGTAGAATGGCCAGCCATCTGCCAAATGTGATGCACAAAGCATGCACTCTGTATTTCCAGTGACAATCCCCAAAAATACCCTCATGAACTGAACAATATTGAAAAGAATCTACTCTTACTGTCTTTCACATGTGCTCTTTTTATGAATCTTTCTCGTCGTCACATGTTCCAGGTATTCTTTTCTCATAACACAGCCACAAATGGCGATTACCACTTTCTGATGTGTGGGATAAGTTTCTTTGGGTCTCAATTTTGTTGAAAACATCTTGATTACTCATTTTGGCTGTCCAAGAAATGTTATTAATTCTTTTGTAAAATAAGACCTTGAAGCCTCAAGGGATCTTCTGGCTTGTTGACTAACTGTCCAGAAAGTCATTAACTTTGTCATGTACCTAGCAACATGCAGCACACAATGATCCCTTTCTGTGATACCCAGATTTGGGATAATGTGTTCTTTCACAACTTTTACATTTTCCATTGTGGTTATTTTTCTTGTTGGGTATCTGCCTTAAAATCTCCAGAGACTGAAGAGTTGAAACTCTCCCTGCCAAATAATTAAGCTGATACTTTAACTGTCACCCACCCTGATAAGCCAACAGGGTATAATTCCCCTAAATGTCACTTTTCTGACTTGTTTAGAGTGATGTGTTTACAAGATACATAGCTGTGCTTGCACAAACATTCAAGTAGATAGAATATGAATACACTTGCTTAAAACAGCATGTGGAGACATTTTGCTGCAAACCTAATAGCCTTTTTTTTAAAGCCAAGATAAAGTTAAATCTTCCCATAAACCTTAGTGATAGAGGTCACAGGGTCATGACATAAGTCACCCGATACATAGTTTTTTTTAGATGCAGGGCAATATATTCCATTTAATGCTTCCCTCTTTTCATGTATAATCATTAACCCCTTTTATATATATCTTTATATAGTTGAACACAACTTTGTGTAGATACATAAATTGTAAACATGTTTATCAGTGTCCTATGTAGAATTGTTTTTTAAAGGATTTTTTTGGGGTGGAATTCCCACAGGAACATTACCCATTCTTTTAGCATCACTAGGATGACAGGGTTAATCCATGATCTCTTAAAATTTGATTAATTCATTTGATTTATTACAGTTTGATAAAAGGACTTGCGATTCAACATGCCTAGGCTGTTAATTCCCCAAAGGAAATTAAGTTAATTGGTGACGGTTTGAAAAAGCAATAAAAAAAATGAGAAATAGTCAGCTTTACAAGAATATGACCAGAAAGAATTCTGATAACAAACCTTCCAAGGCAAACAAAAGCAAGATTAAAGATAAAAAGACTAAAATAACTCTATTAAAAGGTCAAAGACATTTGTCTATGCCTTCTGGCATATTGGGCATATATGCTAGACCTAATTCCTACAGATCAACTGGGTGATGTGGTCAACATCACACCGGCTGCCTTTACTTCCTGGGACTTTACCTGGTACCCACTTGAGGCTGGGTCAACCTGGAAGCCAGGGTCATTTTTGAAAAAAAGTCTGGCTTTGTTTTGTTAAATTCGATGTCACAGAATTAAAATTTGCAGCTAATGCAGCATCTGTTGCTACTCAGAGGTTACGTAATCTATGCAACTGAGCAGGGATTCTAGGATTTAAAACTGTTTATTGTCATCCTTGATGTGTTAATCCTACGGACTGCAATAATGGAAGAGACAAACTACTAACCCTACCCCATTGCATGATCTGGCAAAAACTAAGCGGCCCACCCAGATTTTACCGTGGCCTGCTGGTTGAAGAACATTGCTATAGATAACAATACATGATGTTGGCTGGCCAACTTTTCTGGCAACATTTACTTCTTTAAACCTCCCAAAGAATTCTGCAATTTTGCGAGGCTGGCATGACCTTAGATCTGTACTGGCTGGAACAAACAATCATGCCTCTGCTGAGGGTTGAACCCACACCACCGCCTCAATAGGCAAGCTCACCATAGGATAAAGTGACAGTTAACACACAGTGGGACATACAGAACTTTGTGTCACAGGTATGTGATATGTGACAGAATTTTGTGACAGGTAAGTGATTTGTTTTGTATATATGATCAATATGTATATATGATGTATATTCCTTATGTAAATATGATGTATATATTACACAGGCTTTTGGTAGGTATGTGCTTTGTTACAGTATTTTGTGGCAGGTATGTGTTAGGTTACAGGATTTTGTGACAGATGTGTGATATATTCCAAGATTTTGTGACAGATAAGTGATGTTACAGAGGTTTGTGGCGGGTAAGTGATATGTTACATAACTGTATCACAGGTATGTGAGATGTTACACAATTGTGATCCAGGTCAGTCATTAACTTTGTAAAGATAGCAGTATACACACTCAACATCCAACAGTCTGAGGGTCTAGACAGAGAGAGATCTGATAATAATAACTGCCATCTTCAGCCTCGATCATAAACTACCAAGAGTTTTTCATATACAGTGTTATTCTTCATTATATCCTGAACAGCTTATCAGTGTTATAAACCAATGTTTTCAACTCATGGGCCATGGAAAAGTCAAGGTGGGTCATGAAAGGTTTCTGATTATAACGTAACAAGAAAAGAAAATTCATTTGACTTATAAAGCTATTAGATTGTTGGTCAATTTTTTGACTTTCTATCTGTGAAAAGACTTTCTCAGCCATGTCAGTAATAAAAAGCAGAGGAACTGAATGGATGTCGCTGTAGTGCACTAGCCATGTATATAACATGTTCTATTCAATGAGTATGATCCGGAGGGTTCAGGCAGGTTCAGTGCGAAGACAATGGCTTGAATCATTACAGAAGTCCACTGTTCGTGGAGTCACCTTTATTTTTGTTCCGGGACACGCAGGCGTCAATGGAAATGAAAGAGCTGACAGGTTGGCTGGATCCGCTATCACTACCGACGGTCAGCCTATGGATCATGCTGATATTATCAATGCCCTCAGAGAAATGGGAAGAATAGAGGACTTTGGTGGCAGTGAATCCACATCACTCGCCAGAATGGCAGACTTGGGAATTAAGATCGGCACAGCAAAAAACGAGACGCACACCAGCTACGCCAGAAGACTTGTTAATCAACATAGAACTGGTACTATTAGCCATCGGACGTTGGGGTTCATACTGAGGGGAGGATCTGAGCACCTATGGACATGTCCGGAGTGCAATGAGGATAACCCAACTAACTAACTAACTAACAAAATAACATGTTCTAGCGCAGATGTGACATAAGACTGAATGAAAATACAACCATCTACAATTGTCTTTGTTCCCATGTTTGGTTAAATGTCAAGTGGGTTGTGAAACAGTTCTGCCCATTTTGATGGGCCGCATGTGTAAAAAAGGTGAAAAAACACTGTTATGAACTAACAGTAATTTAAACAACAATATCCTGTTCAACCCATCTGGGTTATAACTGGGATATACACTTTAATTTTTTTTTTCTTTTAAATTTCAACAATATTTAAGCCACTCAATTATGTTTGGTAATTCAATATTGCATAGATTATATGTTAATTGTATAAGATTGTATGAGTATATATTGTCAAGTTCAATTTATTTTCAGTGTACTTTCAAACAATTGTTGTAATAACTTTTATTACATTATTGCCGATATTTAAAGTTATTTTGGATACCATTATTCTATCTCAAGATATATGTTAACACCTTGTATGCTAACCCCTGTTCTTGTGATGTACTGTTTAATCTTAATTTTGTCCTGTATCTACTCCCAGCAGGTTTTTTTATTGTCACAGGCTTATTACAGTGGAGGGGTGTCAATGAGGTGAGTCTTTTGGAGGTTATATTCATCGCGGATTAGTAAATAATGTTCGATTTGATTTATCTGACACATGGAACATATGTCTTCTGCTCTAGTTATGGTGAAGGTAAGCCACTCCAAGTTGCAGTCTGAGCCTATAAATTATAATTTAATTAGTCATTTCTTATTACAAGCGATTTTGTCAGTTTTTTTACATTTTCTAGTTGCAGCTTTATACAATTTGTAAGCAGCATGTCTTGCCTATAATCCTAACTCTTTGAGTCCCAAAAGACTCACCACGCACTATTTGATAACTACCTGGATGCCCCAATCAGCACATGATGCCCACAGGTTTTTAATTTACAAACTGACCAGTATAAAAACTGACCAGTATAAAAACTGACCAGTATAAAAACTGACCAGTGTAAAAACACGAACTGGACTATTAAAACTTCTTTTCCTAGTCTTTGTGTTCAATATCACAAGTGTTGACCCCCCATGTGGGTTCCGGGGCCCCATTGTGGGGAAAACAAGAATAGACCCACTGCCTCCCCAAAAGCATGTCGTAAGAGTCGACTAATTGGGGAGCTTCCTTTGAAGTCGGAGTGCATCTGCCGGAGAGGCAAGGAACCAACAGTCTGTATTCAAGAGAATGAGATCTGTAAAACTGATGCACACGCAACACTCAGGTTCTGGAGCAGGACTGCAGTTCAGTAGTGGACGAGCAACCAGAACCTTCCGCCAGAGTTTACAGCTGGTGAACGCGAAGAAGAAGAAGAAGACAAGTGTTGACAATTAGCTTTGTTTGGAAACTTGATTAAAAACCTAAAATATAGTATGCGGGGTTTAAAAAAAATTATATAATAAGAAGGAGAAAACTGAAGTACATCTTGACAGTAGAAAAGTTGGAGGGGAGGAGATGCAGAGGGAGACCCAGAGAAAAGATGCTAGACGGACTGACATCATGGCATGGAGGAACATCTGTGTCACCAGACATTGATAGACATGACTTTCAAAAGAAGAAAAAGTGGTCCACATTTATTTGTGATTTGTTTTGGGTATATTTTATTGAGTTTTCCTTGAGCGCCGTGGTGGTAAGTGGACAAATTATTATTCTATTTTACTAATTTCTCTAAACATCTTCATCTTGTCTGTTTATTTACTAATAATTATTACTAACGCAATTTAGTTACTGTTGTATTATTCTAATATTATTTCCTAATAATCCTGATTTAATGTGTTAAACTTGTGAAGTTAAAAAACTGCATTTCATTACCACTGCTTGGGCTTTTGATGCGAAACCCCCTAAAACTCAAATTATCAATATTAAGTTTTCATTCCCCATCCAATTCCAGGTTATAAACTAGATCTCTATTTCATAATTAGAAAGAGGAGATATGAATGATACTGTAAAAAAATTCTTACAGATTAGATTAATATCATGAAAATACAAAGTTAGTTGTGAATCATTTTTACAGGACATACCAAACCAACCCCAGAATTTTTTGGCTGTTCTGGTTTTTCTAGGTAAATTTACGTCCAGTAGTTTGCCATTGCTAACTTGACGGTCGGCTTCTCAGTCGATACCACTTTTGAAACCAAAGCAATGCCCGCAACTGGAATCGAACCCGACACCCCGGCATTGCGAAGATTAATATTACTAATTATATTATAAATAATATTAAATTGCGAAAACATATCGTGAAGGAGTGAAGGCACTCTCAGTTCCCTCGTGAGTCATCATTTATACAAGAAGAAATGTTTCAATTATGACAAATATTACCCAGAGCTTTCATGTACTCATCAAAGTTGTCCGATTTCTCCAGATCCCAAACTCCGGGTGCCAGTTCTGCTGCCATGGTGAGTGCACGTGTGTCAGTTTAGTTGTGGCGGCTGATGAAGCTTGTCTAGAAATGATATCTTTGAGACTCAGCCAAGTCCTTGTTCCAGCTTCCAGGCCAGGAAGACGACCTTTGACTTCTGACCCCGAGATAACAACTCTAATCCCAGAGAGCGGGAACAGAGTGGGGATTGGAGCGGTTAGGGAGAAGAGGACTATTTTGATTTTTCTTTGATGTCGGAATCTAACGGTTAGGGCACAAAGACCGGCACACAGTTCTATTAATTGTCTTCTGCAACTGACACAACGAATATGAGAACACTATTATCTGACAGATTACTGAAGGCAATTATTTGTTGTAGCTGTATTCAATAATTATTCCTCAACAATCCCTGGTCTCTTTGATGTATAATAATATGTTGCGCGGCAATTGAATTAGTCTGTGTTTTAGTTCTATACCCCCCCCCCCCTTGTGTGGGTTCCGGGGCCCCATTGTGGGGAAAACAAGAATAGACCCACTGTTTCCCCAAAAGCACCTCGTAAGAGTCGACTAATGGGGAGCTTCCTTTGAAGTCGGAGTGCATCTGCCGGAGAGGCAAGTAACCAACAGTCTGTATTCAAGAAAATGAGGTCTGTAGACTAACTGTCGGGGGCACAGAGGGCGAGGCGGGATTTCAGGGTGGTATCTGAAATTCTTGAACAGTCTTAAAAGTCTATGGTTAAGCACCAGCAAGGAAATGAAAATTAGAATTTTGAGATCATGCATCTTCCCTGTGGCTACATACGGATGTGAGACGTGGACTATCTCTCAGTCCTTAAGAAAGAGAATAGGGGCTTTTGAGCTGAAATGCTAAAGAAAGATTCTCAGAATATCTTGGACAAAGAAGATGAGAAATATTGACATCTTAAAAGATCTGAACATCAAGGAAGATTGGCTAATAAACAGAATCCTTTCTCGAAAGCTGAAATATTTTGGTCACATCAAGCGCCACGAAGGATTGGAAAAAATTATAGCAGAAGGCATGGTACCAGAAAGGAGGGGCAGAGGCCGACTGACACGAAAATGGGCACAGGATATAAGTGACTCCTTGAGTGTGAAAGTTCATGAGGGAACTGGCAAGAGACCGAGTTTCTTACAGGCAGACTGTGATGAGAGCGACGTTCTGCAAAGGACCTGCTACATGATAATGATGATCTGAAATTCTCATAAAATACCTAATATGCTCGGAGACGTGCCTGCCAAGCGGGTCGGGCGCTATAACCTCTTTCCCCGGGTAGATGAAACCCGTTAGCTTTGGACAGCAGTCCATCTAGGAGACGGCAAACTCCGAATATAAACCCTTATGTTCAAGGTGGGCCAACGTGCTGAGAAACTGGATGGCCACGGGAGAGCTGGTCGTGAACGTTGGACTTCTGGCGGGCGTGCGGGGCGGCACCAGGCGTATGGACTCCTACGGGACATCCATTGCCCCTTCCCTAGCAGGCAGGAAATTCTAGGGTGACCGGTCATTTCCTGCAGTACTCTATTTTTCTCATTTAGATTTTAAAAATATTCATAGAAATCGTCGCCGGAGCTACGGAGCACGTGCTCTGCACTTGATACAGACATATATAATTGCCCTGGGTACTTCAGTTATATAAATCCTGTTGGACAGGAGAGACAAGGTCTGGTGGTGAAGCAGGGAGTGAAGCATGTGGTGCTTGACTTGAGCCAGTGGAACCACAGTGGAAGAGAGGTTCAATGGATACAGGTGGCGATTAGTGGCTTGAGTTTGAACCTCATAAATAGATATGCCACGGTAGACTGTTTTGTCAGAAGTCACAGCCACTGACTTGACATTTATCTCTCAGTCGTCGGTTTTAGATGTTAAATAGATTGTCTTGAATGACCACGGGAGTGGTCTCCTACCATATTCAGTCCTGATTTCTAAACCCAGTAAGGTTAAGGCTGGGAGAGCACACAAGACCTTCCGGTATAAGTGGACCAACAACCTTCTTGGAACCCTCAGACAGGGAGCATGCCACAGAACTGCCAGAACTAATTTTCTACAGCCCTCCATGGTGGACCCCAGAAGTAGAACAGGCGTGGAAGGCAAAGAGAGCCGCAGTGAAGCAACTAAAGAAAATACGACAGACACCCTCAAGCTCATGAGAGGAAGTGGAGATGGCGGAGAATGTAAAAAAAAAAAAAAAAAAGATAAGGTGGAGGTTTCAAGCGCTTTGCCGTAGAGGGCAAAAGTGCAAAGTGGGAAACTTTTGTGAATGATATGGGAGGCGATAAAACTTTGAGGAAATTCTGGAAACTGCAAAGGCAGATGCAAAGAAAAGATCGGCCTATGACAGTCGGAATAACTGTAGAGACGATGGTGTGCTTATGACAACAGACAAGGAGAAAGGGGAAGCTTTCCTCTATAGGTTTATAGCTCAGACAGATCATAATGATGTAGACATCAGGAATGCAGTTAGAAAGGAGTAAGTTGGCACCTCAAAGAATATACATTATGAAGACATGATACAAGTAGAAAATATCAAACAAATTTAAAAAAAAAAAAACCAAAAGACACTGCACCAGGGCCTGATGGGGTCAGATATAGCCACATGGAGGCTTTGAGCGATGTAGACCTGGCAGAGATGGCCGACTGTTTTAACCAGAGCATTAAGACAGCATCAGTACCGCAGGACTGAGTGCACAGCTATCTAATCCCACTACCAAAACCTTTTAAGGATCATTCAAACGCTCAGTGGCTTTAGAATCATCACATTACAAAACACATTTGGGAAGGTCCTGGAGAAGATAGTTGCTGCAAAGCTGGAAGAATTTTTAGAAAGGGGGAAGCTTATCCCAAGAGGTCTGGGAAGCTCTAGGCCAGGACAGGACACTTGGGCAAATGCAGCGACTTTTGCTTTTGACATCTATGAAGGGTTCCAGAACAGACAGGAAACTATGGCGGTATCACTGGACCTCGAAGATGCTTATAACAGAGTGAGATACGACATCTTGATGACTGCACTGAAGGAGAAGGAGGTCAGTCCATGGCTGATGAATTTGGTTGCAGCTGTCCTATATTCACGTCGGGTTGCTCTCCGAAGGGGCTCATGGACCTCAGAACCATGTAGTTTGGCCCCAGGACTGCCACAGGGATCAGCCACCTCACCTTTGCTCTTTAACTTATATACCAGCAAGATTACAAGCCTAGAAGCACAAGGAGTTGGTAGGATACTGACTTTTGCGGATTATATACATGCATATAGGCAGGGGGAAGAGAGGAAACACACAGCTCGGGAGCTACAAGCGACAGTAGACAAAGTGACTGAGTGGTGTACAGAAATTAGGGTTGTCGTCCACGTGGAAAAGGCGTCTGTTTTGTGGTGTTCTCTAGATAACAAAATCGTTAAAGCTAATGTCCCAAGTCTCGCGATAAATACTATAAACGTCAACAGAGAGAGAGAGAGAGAGAGAGAGAGAGAGAGAGAGAGAGAGAGAGAGAGAGAGAGAGAGAGAGAGAGAGAGAGAGAGAGAGAGAGAGCAAACTGAAGTATTTGGGAATTACATTTGACAGGAGCCTGTCCTTTAAGGACCATGTGGAGAGTGTTGTGACAAGATGCCAAAAAGGACTTAGTGCACTTAAGACTATGGCTGCAATTGACATAGAGCAGAGAATGCTTTTCACACTATATCAGCACCTGATCCTGTCAGTGGTTGACAATGGCCTGGGACTGCTTACCGTCTCAAAGAGTCAGATGGACAAATTAGAGCGCATACAGAACTCAGCTATGCGGGTCGTTCTGGGTGGCACCAGAGACACCCCAGTGGTGTTTATGCGATACATCCTTGGTTTGCCGACTGTTGCAGATAGGCACAAGGTGTTGCAGGCGAAGTCATATCTCAGGGCAGCTGCAGACACAGACTACCCTTTGCATGAAGCTCTGGGTGCAGTTATGGGTCAGCGGCTGATAAGAGGAAAGTCATGGATGGCTCAGGCAGAAGACACAATCAAACAGGTTTGCATCTTTGAGAACATAAGGAGCAGATGAATCACCACAGTCTGGTGAGATTGATGCGGGGGGGGGGGGGGGGGGAGTGACAAGAGGTTCTGGCAGATGCTCGAGGCTCAGAGGAAAGACAAGACGGACGTTTAATCAGAATGCCGCTGGCACCATTAGTATCGGAACTCTTCGCTGGCTACTGAAGATGGGGACGGAGCGCTTATTGAAATGCCCCGAGTGCTGTGATGTCGGTTCTTGAATAAAATCAAAACAAATCAAATCAACCAACCAAATCTGGTCTGACAAAAGTTAAAAACCTGGCCGACCGCTGCTTGCCGTACGTGATCGAGTCCAGTCAGTCACGTGACAGTTATGAACTTATGGCGGGTACTACAACAGGCTTCTGCTGGTCACTCGCCAACATGGAAACAATTGTCAGAGGTCCCGTTGCTGAACGCTGTCAGTGATTCTGTTCAAGCCAGCCATGGACACCGATGTTAAACGTAATTTTCATTTTGTAATGTTTTTCTGTTAACATTTTTTAGTTTTGAGAAAAATATGAATGAATTGACATCACTGCACTTACTCGGAACTTCCCTATTTTCAGTAACATAGTAACAACCAACGAAGAGAGAGAGTCGACATGCTAATAGTCCCAGTTGCAACCTGATTAGAGTAAGATCCACCTCTATTTTCCCTTCAATGTTGAATATATTCCAGAACCTCTACACAGCACATGTTGAATTAGTCTCTTAGTGTATGGATTCACTATCGGTTCTTTGTGTACTAATGACATGTTTATGCTGTACCCTGGCGATCCTCATGTTCAAAATGTTGGCACCTGAGTAAACATGAATAGCCCTGCCATAGAGCCTTCACCACATCTGCTTTATCATTTAGTAGCTCACCACCAAGAGTAGAGGCAGCAGCTAATCAGTCAACATGCTCATTACCTTGCACACCTGAATATCCTAGACAGAATATCCATTGTATGCTTTTGATCTGAATCTTTATGCTCTTGGTCTGAATCTT